CAGATGATCTTAAATGCATTCTGGATGGACTGGCCAGGTGCACTCATGTGGACTCCGCCTACCAGGACCCGAAGACACACAGCACAAGCAGCACCACGGATAAGACGCAACCTAGAGGCCATGGCAGAGCCAGAGGGCTGTCACACTGTTGATCCCAAAATCCTCTGAGTCTTTTTGCCTGAGTTGAGCTGTGGTGTTATTTTGGAAATAGGACACTGACACTTGCACCAGTTTGGCCAGCTCACACCAGTTAAGCTTTTTGGCTGCAATGCAACAGCAGCGCCAGCCCCATAAGCCTAGGAACACACTGGCTGCAAGATTTAGAGATTCTGCGTCTCACCTATTTTTCCATGTGTGATGCGTCTCAGCAGAAACAAACAGAAAAAAGATTGTGGATGTCATAGTGACATCATAGCAGCAACATCACGTAAAACTGACTCCTTCCACTATAGTTTCTATGTCTAGGCTGAATCTGAATATGACAGACATGAAAAAATATAATATAATAATATAATAAATATTTTTAACAATTTTAGCAGCTGCATGTGGAGACAGAGACATTGTAGAAAAAATAAATCAGAAATGAATTGAACTCTATGTTAGAGATAGAGCTGCAGCAGCAGAGACGCAGCAGTGTGTTCCAGACGTACACATGAATGTCCATGATGGAGTTGAGGGATCATGTTACACCATTGGTCGCTGAGTGTTGGAGTTTTGAACACACATTAGCTGTTGCTCTTTCAAAAATAAATAGGCACAGGTTCTGTCAGGTGGCATTCACAGTAGCGGTGTTGTCAACTTATTTTATACTTACTTTTTTTTCTTCAAAAAACACAGAATCTGGAGAATTTAGCTACTTTCTATAGATGAGAGTCTCCACACTGTATATGTGAGCACAGAGAGGAGAGAACAGGACACAGTGGAGTCAGTTATTTACAATGGTTTTACAACAATTTTTAATTACGTCCTCACATTGACCATACACACATATACTTTGACCCAGTCTTGTCACAGTGAGGGTTGCTATTACAACTGTTTTGCAGCATGTGTTAGGGTTTAGATGCTCATACAGGCTTTAAACAACCCCCAGGTTAGATTTACTTGGAAGAGAACACAAAGATCCAGATTTGAACCTACTTGTTGCTGCTGTTATTTTCCATATAAAGTGGTTTTAGTGAGGTAGTTAGTTACCTCTGATTGCCTGACTGCTTGTGTTTTGTCCTCATCTGCGCTCTTCTACAGTGGACTTCAGAAAACACATGCAAACAGACAAACACAAACAAACTTTGCACATGGAGGTATTATAATATATTCATGTGTCCTGGTTTTTTGGAAGTTATTTTTTGCCTTCATTCTGAAAGTGAAAGTGAGCGATAGGGACAGGAAAGTCACAGGGAGGGAGGGGATAACATGCAGCAAAAGGCCATGGGTCAGACTGGAACACAAGCTGTTGCAATAAGGACTACACCTACATGGTGTGCTGGAAATTTGCAGCTCATGTGTTGTGAAAAAAAAAAAAGTTTTCTGAATTTCTTTGTACTCGCATGTGTTTTCTTAAGCTGCAGTGTGTTGAGGCCAGTCAAAGCAGTGCAGTTTTTGTTACTTCTGTGTCTGCTTCATTTTTAAACCTTGTAGGTTGCCGCTGGCATTAAACCCCTAGGCAGGAGCTTCCGGACTGTGCATGAACTCTGGATAGCCTGCCCCAGCCCCACCTGCAGACACACCTCCAGACACTCCCCCCTGAAAGTGCTGAGTCAGCTGGACCAAGGCAGGAGACTTGAATGACATTTCTGTGTTTAATTCAATATATGTGCAGATCACTATAATTTGGTGCATTTTGCAAAGAGAATATACATGGTTTTATTTTTTGGAGTTTTATCAAACCACTACCCTGTAAATGTGCAAAATGTGAACATCACCCCCCCAAGTACTGTATTTGCATATTACAGTAAAATCTCAAGGATTGCTATTGTCTTTTTTTCAGTTTTTGAGTATTCGCTTAAGTGTTAGACATTTTCTCTTGAAAATAGTTGAGGTGACTGGCCGATCTGAAGAAGCTTCTCCACATTGTCCTCTTTGTGAGTCAGAAACGAGTTGTTGTGAATGATGAGATCACAGATGTAGCTCTGACCGTAAGCAATGTGTGAGACTGTCCTCCTAAGGAACGAGCCCATAGGTCGTCTGTGCGGCAGGTTATTATGACCCATAGTTACATTTTGTTGCTAGGCGACATCTAGTGGTCGTAGTAATGATGACAGCAGCAAAGGGAAACGTGCGGTGACGAAGTATAAAGAGAGACAAAGTCCACGTCAGGAGGACGTTGTGGTGGATGGATGAATTGTAACCATGACAACAAAGACAGTGTAGTGTCGAGGGAGTCGTTATTTAAGCCAAATCATGATCTTAAACCTAAACCTAACCAAGCCATGTACTCATGGTGACGAAGGTAGGTACACTGTTGTTGGTGCAGTTGGTGTGTTTAATATTGTAACCATGACAACCTGGGTCCGGTACGCCTGCAACTGTAGGGAAGCTGTTTCAGGAGACACTCCTATAGGTTGTATCAGAGGGTTGGAGCAGTTGTTGGGTTTATCTGTGACACAACACATACATTAAGAACAACACAGTGCTCTTCTTATCTGCTACAGTTGTGGTCAAAAGTTTACATACACTTGTAAAGAACATAATGTCATGGCTCTCTTGAGTTTCCTGTTATTTCTACAAGTCTGATTTTTCTCTGATAGAGTGATTGGAACAGATACTTCTTTGTCACAAAAAACATTCATGAAGTTTGGTTCTTTTATGACTTTATTATGGGTTAACAGAAAAACTGATCAAATCTGCTGGGTCAAAAATATACATACAGCAGTGCTAATATTTGGTTACATGTCCCTTGGCCATTTTCACTTCAATTAGGCACTTTTGGTAGCCATCCACAAGCTTCTGGCAAGCTTCTCGTTGAATCTTTGACCACTCCTCTTGACAGAATTGGTGCAGTTCAGTTAAATTTGATGGCTTTCTTACATGGACTTGTTTCTTCAGCATTGTCCACATGTTCTCAATGGGATTTAAGTGGCCAAACGGCTTGATTTTTGTTTCGTCTGACCACAGAACTTCCCTCCAGAAGGTCTTATCTTTGTCCTTGTGATCAGCAGCAAACTTCAGTCGAGCCTTAAGGTGCCACTTTTGGAGCAAGGGCTTCCTTCTTGCACGGCAGCCTCTCAGTCCATGGAGATGCAAAACACGCTTGACTGTGGACACTGACACCTGTGTTCCAGCAGCTTCTAATTCTTGGCAGATCTGCTTTTTGGTGGTTCTCGGTTGACTCATCACCCTCCTGACCAGTTTTCTCTCAGCAGCGTTTTCTTCCTGATCGTGGCAGTGACAAAACAGTGCCATGCACTTTATACTTACAAACAATTGTTTGCACTGTTGCTCTTGGGACCTGCAGCTGCTTTGAAATGGCTCCAAGTGACTTTCCTGACTTGTTCAAGTCAATGATTCGCTTTTTCAGATCCATGCTGAGCTCCTTTGACTTTCCCATTGTAGCGTTTGTGGGCGTTTGTATCCAATGAGCCCTATTTAAATGGCCTCAGAGAAGTCACCAGCTGTAGTCACTCATAATCACTCACAAGAAGTTAAGAGACCATGCTATGAAGCTCATTTCATTGACACAACTTTCTAAATCACCAAAATTGCTAATTCATGTTGCTGTATGTATATTTTTGACCCAGCAGATTTTGTCACTTTTTCTGTTAACCCATAATAAAGTCATAAAAGAACCAAACTTCATGAATGTTTTTTGTGACAAAGAAGTATCTGTTCCAATCACTCTATCAGAGAAAAATCAGAGTTGTAGAAATAACTGGAAACTCAAGAGAGCCATGACATTATGTTCTTTACAAGTGTATGTAAACTTTTGACCACGACTGTATACCACCACTCAGCACCTTCAGGTGGTACTACACCCAAAATATATAGAGAGTATGAAAGACATGACGTGGCTGTAAAAGATGGAGATTGTGTTGTCCACACGAAACCATCAAAACTTGATTCCATTTGTTTGCATCGTCAGGACATCAATCCGACCTCAGACTGAGGTCTGAGGTCTGTTAGTTTTGTTTACTGTTGTTTACTCTTATGACAGCAACGGTCGGAGGATGTTCCTGTTTCCTGTGACGGTTACCTGTGGAAAGATGGTTACCATCGGAAAGACCAGCTCACTGCCTGTCAGATCCTTAAACCGATCAGAAAAACCCCCGATCACTTACAATCCCCTGACAGGAGAGAAAAGTCCACCTACTGATGAGGATCATACCATGAGAGTGAAAGCTCCAGAACAGCCACTCAATGGGCCTATTTTCCGCAATCCCCTCGTTGTTGACAGAAAACATTTTACATGTTTATTAAAACAAAACTGTGAAGCCCCTCGGCCTATTTTTAAACAAAGAGGAAATTACACAAGTTGCAGTTCATTTTTACTCCAAACACTGTACAGCGGATAAGGCAACAGCAACAGACGTCTTGATGAATAACTGAGTGATGTGTCTGTGGCTACACCTCCTTATATTTGACTCACATAGAGATGACCTGAGCACCGCAACACATGTAAACACATTTAACATGATGTGGCCAAGATGTGCCTCTGATGGTTTAAAATGGTTGACGAGGTGTGTGTGTGTATGTGTGTGTGTGTGTATGTGTGTGTGTAGCTTTTGTGAGCAGCAGGATGTGAGTATATATCCCTGTCTTTGTGATAGTATCTGTAGACTTGTGGGTGTGTGTGCAGGGGTTTCTATACAGGTGTATAAGTGTATCTGTGTATATACAAGTGTGTGCTACTGGGATAAAACAGTCATATAGAGCGTGTAGGAGTGTGTGGTGTGTGTATTCTTCCTTCATCACCACTCATGAGTGACATCACCGGAGTTTCCCCCCAGAAGGAAACTGTTTTAAAAAGAGCTGCTCACCAAGTTTCAATCAACAAACCAGAGCGGCAGCAGAAGAAGAAAAGAAGCTCTCAAAGAGGCTCAGCTGGACCTGAAGTGATTGAAGGAAATCTCTCAGAACGATGGAAGATGAATGCAAAGTGCAGCTGGATGCCACTGTCTCCACAGAGGCCAGGAAACACACGACGCAGGGTGTCAGACCCAGCTCAAAGCTAACCACGGCCCTGCTGGCGTTCACGCTCTGCCTCGCCTTCGCTGCCGCTGCCGTCCTCTTCTTTAACACACACACCAAGGTGGGAATTAGATTAGTCTCTGAATGACTGAAATGCCTCTCACAGCCAGAGAGACTTATTTGAACCCGGACTTTCTGTAACGTCTTTTTATTCCTCTCTTCCTGAAACAGGAGCGGACAGGACAAGACGAAGACACCACTGGTGAGAACTTTACCATTCATTCTCTCATGAGTTCAGCACTGTACTGGAACACTGAATGCCTGATGATTTTATCGGACAGTTCATCTTTAGCTGCTGTCAAACCAACATTACAGTGGAGAGACTTATTCTGCAGTCCCAGCGTGGAGCTGCTGCGCTCCGTCACATTTTATGAACCTCTGTCTTCTCTTCTCTGCAGATCTTCATCACACCTTGAGGCAAATTTCCAATGGAAGACCGGCCATTCATTTAGAAGGTAAAATATATTCAGCATCAAAGAATACCTGTGGTTCTGAAAGCAAAGGTCGGGATCAGGGTTAGGGTTAGCGCTTCTCCAGCTCCAGGGGCTCTTGAAGACATTCTAGGGACTGCTTAGGTTCTAAGCGAACCAGTCCCTGTTCTGGTGGAAAACATGTTATAAACCTTTTCTTTAAGAATCAATTTATTTTTCACTCCAGCTGTCAGAAATTCACGATCGCCTTCATCACCGTCTCTTTCTATCCTTCAACAGGTAAACACAACGAAAGTCTGAGCACTTCAGTGGAGTGGAAGAATAACGTGGACCAGTCCCATGCTACAGGTGGACTGAAGCTGGAGAACAACGAGATTGTGATCCCTCGAACCGGCCTCTACTTTGTTTACAGCCAAGCGTCCTTCCGGGTCAGTTGCACAAGCAGTGATGCCGACGACGCCACCTCAAAGCCCATGGTCCACCTGAGCCACACTGTGAAGCGCTGGTCCAGCTCGTACGGAGGCGACAACACAGAGAACTCCTACCAGACCATCCTCCACTCTGTCCGCACCGCCTGCCAGAAGACAGCCAGCAGCGCCGGGGACGAGGAGGGAAACTGGTACACCGCCGTATACATGGGGGCTGTGTTCAACCTGAGGAAAGGGGACAGGCTGAAGACGGTGATGGAGGAGAGGATGCTGCTGAAGCTGGAGGATGAGCCGGGGAAGACGTTCTTCGGTGTGTTTGCCTTGTGAGGACAGGTGACCGAGGGCTACAGGTGAAGAAGAAGATGGCTCCACGGTGAGTCCTGCAGCTCTGGACTCACTCACACTGTTGAAAGTTTACACTGCACTGAACAGTCAATGCACCTGTCAGTACAGACCCAAAATGATGACATAAAGTTTGCTGTGTTAACTCTAAAATGATGACATAAAGTTTGCTGTGTTAACTCTATGTATCAAGCATAGATATCTCTGCAGCTCCATGTTATGTACTATGTACGACCACCTCAAGGCCTTGACTGCACTGCGAATTTACTGTAACTATTATGTGTATTTATTTATTGTGTCACTACAGGCTGAAAGAGGATGTGTTTAATCAATGAAAGCATATTTATTTATTTATCTATTTATTTATTTATTTCTCAGTGTTTTCATTTGTTTTTATACATAATTTATTGAGTATTGATTGGAACAAATACCTGTCTGATCAATTGTTTGTTGGTATGCCAGGCTGTGTGGCCTGTGATGCTGTAGAAACTTTTTGAATAAAAAAATAATTTATGAAAAAAAAAAGTATGTGTGCTTGAGCTGTGGGCATTATATGAGACCTCAAATGTTGAACTAAAAGATGTAAAAAAAAAAGAAAAAGAAAAAAAGGAATGAATAAACAAACAACAGTGAAACTAAACAGCAAATAACTGACTGATACGGAAGGAAGGTGCGGAAGAGTCGCAGCATTTAATCAATGCACTGTGGTGAACCTTCAAATTTTTCACATCAGTCTTCACTCAAATTTCCATGACGACAAAGAGAAAACTGAATTTTAGACATTTTTGCTAATTAAAAATTAAAAGTGAAATATCACACTGACATGAGTGTTCAGACACTTTACTGTGACTCAGCTTCCTCCATTTCTCTGGACCATCTGAGATGTTTCTCCACCTTGTTGTCCCCCTGTGGTAAACTCAGCTGATTGGACATGATGTGAAAGACACACACCTGTCTGTGTCAGGTCTCACAGCTGATGATGCAGATCAGTGCAGAAACTATGAGGAAGAAGGAGCTGCTGCAGAGCTCAGAGACAGGACTGTGTTGAAGGTTTCCTGAGAAGAACAGTGGTCTCTGTCATTCTTACATGAAGAAGTGTGGAACAACCAGGACTCTACTAGACCTGGACCTGGACTAACTGAGACAAGGAGAAGAGAGGACACCAAGAACCTGATGGTCACTCTGAACTCCAGAGAAACCTCCAGAAGGACGACCTTGACCGCAGCTCTCCACTGATCTGGACTTTATGTCAGAGAATCCAGACGAAACCTGTCCTCAGGGACAGTTTCTAGAGAAGCAGCTAAAGGACTCTGAGACTAAGAGAAACCACATTCTCTGGTCTGATTAAACCAGGACTGAACTGTTTGGTCACAGTTCTTCAAAGTCAAAGACTTCGTAGCAATTATGACAAAATGTCACACAAATGATTCATATTTTCAGTGCGACTTGAAACTGAGTGGAGGAGGCAGAACCATGAAGAGGTGATTCTAGTTTTTTTAAGAAAACATGTCTTATTTGTGTATCTCTCCCTTTTCTGGTTTGTTACATGACAAAGTGTGTGGATGAAAAAAAAAACACCCAGCCTTAATGATGACACATCCAGGTGATTTTCTGGTGATGCCCCTGACAGATACTTTGCTATATTTACTCTTTAAATGAAAAAGCCAGAGCATGCCCTTGATCTCATCATCAGTGACAGGGGACAATTACAACTTTTGAATTACATAAGAAACCGTGACTTTGCTGGCTCTGTACGCCCACTCATTCACAGCCCAGATCACACTGGGCAGTGAGAAAGTTTCCAGTGGAGTAGCAGTTCCTCAACAGCTACACTGAGGGGAAGTCCCTGGAAATGTGGCAATCTCACTGCTCCCTCCACCAGAGGCCTCTACAGCAGCACCACCTTTCAGCAGTGGAAAGTGTGTATTACACCTTTATTTCATTTTCTCCTTTGAAATATACATTTTTGATGTAATCATTCTGATTTACAGCTTCCTTCATTTGGATGTTTTGTTGTTTTTGTAAATGAAAAGAAATAATACAAGAGCTTGTGCACATTTCTATATGTGTGTAAGAGGAGGAGACATGTATTTTATTTGTTAATGAGTATTAGTGTTTATTTGTCTATCGAATCCAATACAGCATAAGAAGAAAAGAAAAAAAAAAAATATATAGGAAAGACATTAAAACTAAAAGTGCTGAAACTAAGAGAAAAAAAGAAGTGGAGAAGAATCGAAGGCAACTGTACTTGTATTTGTCTGTGGAAGACGTTTCGCCTCTTATCCAAGCGGCTTCATCAGTTCATCATGTATTGGTCTCTCTAGTCTGCACTAGTCTGACCAAGAAAATGGAGTAGTACCCAGGTATTTAACCTCTTGTGGGTGGGTCCACCAAAGTACCTGTGAAAGTACTGGTTTCACCTGACCATTGTTGTGGTCTCAAGTGGACGACCGTCGTTAGGGGTCAGGTGACCCTGTTGTTGTCCCCTGTGAACGACAGTCGTTAGGGTCAGGTGAGCCCCTGGTGGATGACGATCGTTGAGAGTCGTCTGAGGTTATGTTGTTGACCCTCCTGGGTACCGATGAAAGGGCGACATTGTAGATGGGGGATAGATGGTGTCGCAGACCACCTCCCCTGTTTAGTGATGGCCTCTCCACTTTTACATAGATGGCTTCCTTGACTCCCCTTTCAAACCATCTGTCCTCCTTAATGAGAGAGTAAAGCAAGTCCTTTTCACCATAGAAAGGCTTAAGGAAAAAGCTGACCACTTTTTCCAAAACTTAAAAAAACTCCTACCAGCTACGTTGTTCAAAAAGGTTGTTGACTTTACCACGAGAGCCCAACTAGCCCAACACACCAAGGGCAAAGAAAGGCAAAGAAAGAAATTCTGCAATCTCCAACACAAGACAAATAACTCAGGTAACAAAGCAGGAAACCCAAACAAGGAACAAGAGGCAAACCAACACACAAAGACAGACAGATGGGTAAAGAACTTATCTGACAGGGAACTTACCCAGCCCGAGAAGGAGGTCCTAACCAAAGGACTAAATTTTGCTGTTACACCAGAACAAGTTCCTATAGTTGAACTCATCACAGCTACAGAATCAGCTATAAGGAAGAACAACCTGAAAGAAACTGAAGCAGAACAGCTAAGGTTTAAGGTGTCAGCAACCCTGTCCAATGCTAAGGCCCCACCTTCGAGCCTCACCTTTCATGAAAGAAAAGCTGTGATATCCCTAAGCAAGGATAAGAACATCACTATCCTTCCAGCTGACAAAGGGAGATGCACAGTAATTCTGAATACAAGTGATTACCATGCTAAGGTTGCCACTCTTTTAAATGACACTAACACCTATGAAATATTGAAGCGAGACCCGTCCAGTGGCTACAAAAGAAAGGTCATTGAATGCCTCCAAAAACTACAACAAGATGGAGCCTTTGACCGGCCACAATACCTCCGTCTCTATCCTCAGGACGCCATCCCATGCCTATATGGACTCCCCAAGGTCCATAAGGAAGGGGCACCACTCCGACCCATCGTAAGCAGCATCAATTCAGTAACCTACAATATCGCTAAGCTTGTAGCCAACATCTTAGCCCCCTTGGTTGGGAACACACCACATCATGTCCGGAACTCGTTAGACTTTGTAAATAAAATCAAAGGCTTGAAAATGGCACAAGATGAAACCATGGTGTCATACGATGTGACCTCCTTATTCACCTGTATTCCAACCATGGAGGCAGTGGAAACTGTGAGGAATCATTTGAAACAAGATCACACACTACATGACAGAACAAACCTCAAACCAGATCAGATTTGCCAGTTACTGGATTTATGCCTCACAACCACATATTTCCAGTTTAACGGCAATTTCTACAGACAAAAGCACGGCTGTGCTATGGGCTCACCTGTGTCCCCCATTGTGGCCAATCTATACATGGAAATGGTAGAGCGAAAGGCCCTCAACTCCTTCAAGGGAACTCCACCAAGCCATTGGTTTAGGTATGTGGATGACACATGGGTAAAGATTAAAACACAAGATCTACAAGCCTTTACCCAACACATCAACTCAGTGGACAAGAACATCAAATTCACAAGAGAGGATGTCAAAGACAACCACCTACCTTTCCTTGACTGTGATGTCCACCTTGCTGGGGACAGGAGCCTTCACATTGGAGTATACAGGAAGCCCACGCACACAGACCAATACCTTCTCTTTAACTCACATCATCCACTGGAGCACAAACTGGGTGTTATCAGAACCTTGCAACACAGGGCTGACAACATACCAACCTCCACTCGGGCCCAAGCAGAAGAGCACAAACATCTAAAGGGAGCTCTGAAAACTTGTGGCTATCCGAGTTGGACCTTTGGCAAAACAACAACACGCTCCAGAAAGAATACCAACATGGAGGATGCTGAGAAAATGCAAGATAAACGCAGAAATATAGTCATTCCATACGTGTCTGGGGTCTCAGAGAAACTCCGGAGGATTTTTAACAAACATCAAATCCCTGTATGTTTCAAACCCAGTAACACACTCAGGCAGAAACTGGTACACCCCAAAGACAAAACACCACACAATCAGAAAAGCAACCTGATATATGCGGTCAAATGCAGTGAGGATTGCAATGACCTATATATTGGGGAAACTAAACAACCTTTAAACAAACATATGGCCCAACACAGGAGGGCAAACTCTTCAGGCCCTGTCTCAGCTGTCTACTCCCACCTAAAGGAAAAGGCACACTCCTTTGAAGACAGCAATGTCAAAATCTTGGACAGGGAGGACAGATGGTTTGAAAGGGGAGTCAAGGAAGCCATCTATGTAAAAGTGGAGAGGCCATCGCTAAACAGGGGAGGTGGTCTGCGACACCATCTATCCCCCATCTACAATGTCGCCCTTTCATCGGTACCCAGGAGGGTCAACAACATAACCTCAGATGACTCTCAACGATCGTCATCCACCAGGGGCTCACCTGACCCTAACGACTGTCGTTCACAGGGGACAACAACAGGGTCACCTGACCCCTAACGACGGTCGTCCACTTGAGACCACAACAATGGTCAGGTGAAACCAGTACTTTCACAGGTACTTTGGTGGACCCACCCACAAGAGGTTAAATACCTGGGTCCTTCTCCATTTTCTTGGTCAGACT